TGTCATGAAAGCCATTTTGAAAATGTAGATCATTAAAATGTTCCTTTACATTTGAGTCTGCAGCCATTGTGATTTTATTTAAAAAAATCAAATCTGACTCCCATGCAATATGGCAGTTTCATAAACTGTATGTATGAATACAGATCTTCCCAGACAAATCACTGCTTTCCCTCAGTTGTCTGTATTGAGCTACAAATACAGTTACAGGCATCCCCAATAGGAATGTCAGTTTTGGTGAATGCAATAGGAATGTCAGTTTTGGTGAATGCAATAGGAATGTCAGTTTTGGTGAATGCAATAGGAATGTCAGTTTTGGTAAGATATCTCATTAGGTTTACCCACGCCTAAAGGGATTTAGACACTGCAGATTGTCCTGCTACAGCGCTGATGTACACGTGACTGTTCAGGTGGTTATTCTTATGTAGGAATATAATTTGCGTATAGAGATACTGCCACCTTTCTCAAGTAGGGCAAAGAGACTATATAAAGCCCACCCTGATCACTTTGTCACCTCTACAGTGTGCCCTCGCTGCTCTTCCATCTGTGTCTGCCACTGCAAAATACTCAATACTTCCAGTTATAAGAGAGCATTGGACCTCATCCCATGAGCAGTACTCAGGCTTAAGGGTCCATTCACAGTATGAGGGTTATTCACATAAGGGTGAAGGGTTTGGAGAAGGCAGGAGAAGTGAACAATCTAGGACAACATAGCTGACTTGGAAAAATTCTCCAATTCAGCTCACTTTCCAGGTCAGCTATGTTGTCCGAGATTGTTCACGTCTCCTGCCTTCTCCAAACTCCTCACCCCTTTCTGAATAACCCTGTATGTCCGGACCAGATTCAGACCAGAACGTTTTTTTGTCGGCTCCAAGAACACATACCCATCCCTATGGTAAAAAGTGAGGCTAGTTCACACCAATGCGTTCTGTTCCAGAATGTTTAAAAAAAATACTGCATGCCCCATTTTCTCTGGCATTGAAAGCAGCAACTGCATGTAAATGCACTGGAACGCACTAGAAAGTCAAATGAGACAAAAAAAATCACCGGAACGCATCAAAAACACACATGGCTGTATTTGTAGCCAGGTATCCAGATTTGGACGGGACATGGTGTGAATGGGCCCCAACAGCCAACTACTAGGCCCAAGCATTGTCATATGATCTCTCCCTCTGAGCTATGACACTAGGTATTGGTATCAGCCGTCTTGCTAATTTGTTCCCTCGCCAACCCAAATTCATCCTATAAAAATGTAATAATAACAATTAACACAAAACGATTTTTATGCCCGGCACATGCATCAAAATGTAGTGTTGAAAGGGAAATAAAACTCTCCTACAGTGAGACACAAATGTTCACTTTGGGCTTTTCTATTTCACTATGTTATGTAAAAAGCTCACTATTGTAATATTACTTTACTAATTGCTAACTTTGATGGTTATATTTTGCAGTAAATATCTGGGAAGTGCAAATTACTTTTGTTATATACAATATACTGTATATAGGATGAAGCTATCAGCAGTGTATACAAGCTTTTATGTGACACAATCACTTTGAGTACAACTGCACTGTACATAATTGAACTATACATCTGAACGTGTCTCAGCAGCCTCAGAAGAAATGACAATACGATGAGTTACCTTGTTAAAAGAGAATCTCAGTTTCTGGCAATACCCCCTGCAGCCTTCTGTGCTCCGAATCATCTACTCATTCACTTCAGTGCAGATCAAATCTTCAGTGTGCAAGCAGCTCCCTCTAGTGGTAACAAAGTACATTATATTAAGCGCAAACATGGATTCAAATATTCAAAGCTATAAGAAATGGTTTTATTGGTATGTTTAAAGGATAAGTGGGGGGCGGATACAAGACCAGCCACCCTACACAAGGAGAAAGAGAGAGCAGCAGTGACTGGTCTTGATAACAGGAAGCTCCTGCACACAGGACAGATTCCAGATTACTGCATAGACCTGGAAAAAAACAAAAAAAACCCACAAAGCAAAACAACATTCAAATAAACATATACATGTCTCTTGATCTTAACCCTGATTTATGGGAACTTAGCCCACTGCAGCAGAGGGGGAGAGAGAGGCACCAGGGATCGGTCTAAAGGTCGTGACACACTGCACGCGAAGCAGCGCGGACCGGGGGCGCGCTGCCTTTGCGAGCAGTGTGTCATGTAATTTTCTGCTCGGCACCTCAGCTTGCGAGAGCTCGCGGAGCTGAGCGTGCCGAGATGAACAATTTCATACGCTTGCGCGTATAAACCAGCGCGTCGCGATGCGACAGCTGGCAGGTTGTTACGGACGAGCCAATTGGCTGAAGGTGCTGTCAATCATCTGACTGCACTCAGCTCACACACTGCACGCAAAGCTCCGTGCCGGATAGCTTTGCTTCGCTCTGCACGGCTTCGCGTGCAGTGTGTCACGGCCTTAAGAGCAAGCTGGTTCTGCGGATCAGGCAAGTTTAACTTTTTTTTTATCTAGCACCTAGACAAAAACGAGCAGTTAACCCTTGCAGCACGGGGCTAGCCCCTTTTTTAAACAATATTTGCTCATGCCGGAGTTCAGCTTCAAAGAACAAAACTAAATATTAGCTTTAAATTCTTTAAAGCAAATGCTTTGCTTAAAGTGAACCTATCCTGACTGAAAAAGTGTCCAACAAGGAATTCGCTCTCCGACAAACCCAGAAGTGGCGCATTGCAGTGTGCTCAGAGCTCTACAAAAGAACAAAGGTTTAACAATGCCGGATGGAAAGTGGAGTATTCAGCTTCTTCTTTTGTACTTCCTGTTTTAGTGCCTTTATGTACCCATGTGAGTGTTTTAATAAACCTCGGGGGGAACCTCTTTGGATCCTAAGTCCAAGCTGTACACAAACCAAGTTCTCTCTCCAAGGTGAGATTAAAGTAATATTAAACTCTCAAACGTGTTTTCCAATAACTAATCCACATCAAATACACTTACATTGCTCAGCAAAGTATTTCTTTACATTTTTGCCCAAACAATTAGTCACTATAATTCCAAACCGCTGGCTCCAACTCTTCTATCCCAGCTTCCCTGAGCTTCCTATGCAGTACAAAATCACAAGGGACAGAGCAGTCTCCAGCAGCTGTCCATCTTGGAGAAGGCAGGAGTGGTGAGCAGGGAGCGATTTGCTGTGCCTATGTGTTTGTGGAGACATTCACAGCTTAATAGCACACACAAGGGTGGCTCCTTAGGTCCCTGCAAGGGGAAGGAGCCATTCAAACGCAGGTATCAAGGCCAGTTCTCAGGGGACCAGCGAGTTCTATACAAAGCTAAAACTTTTAAACATCAAGAAGCAGTATCTATTGTAAGGGATTTAAATCAGCATTTGAAATAGCTTAAAAACGTTTGACTTCAATATCACTTTAAGCTCTTTCCTCTGTCATTCAACTGCCCAAAGTCAGAGTCTCTGTGGGCAATAGAGTGTCTGCAATTTGCAAAGCTCTGTGGCAGGCAGGGCTTAGTCTGGATTTGGAGAGAAGTTGATGAGCTGTATACAGCCTGAACCTAGGGGGTTCCAAAGTGACCAACCTTCTAGAAACCGCTTGTTTCTGTCTAGGTAAAAAAAAAAAAGCTATACTCACCTGATGCTCCGAGCCAGCTTGTTCTTAGGCCGGCCCCTAGAGCCTCTCTCACCCTCCTAAGGCATATTAATCAGCATGTACACTATACGCGATGATGTCTATGTATAGACGTGAGGATGCTGAGGAAGACTCCAATGCCGCAAGAGGAGACAGGCTGGAGGGAAAGCTGTGAGCGCTGGCCAGCTTGGAGCTTCCGGTGAGTATAACTTTGAATTTTTAAACCTTGACAAAACCGAGCACTTAACCCTTGTAGTGCGGGGGTAGCCTCACTGCAAGGGTTAAAGAAAAAGATTTCCTGGAGCTCATCTTTAAGCTAAGTAAATTTCACATTAAACTGGCCACTGAATAATATGAGTATAATGGGAATAAAAGAACTGAAGCCTAGACAGGTTTCATTTTATCAACATATAATATCTCTGTCTCCTCTGATGGAAGCCGTCATTTTACTAACTTGTGGATGGCATACTAGCTCCAGGGCAGATGTTTCACTCGCATAAATGATTCACAGCCTGGAACTAGTATGCAGTCAGTGAGTTTAGAACCAGATGCCTTCAGCAAAGTGTTCCATGAGAGAGGTGTGTTGGCAGATTCCTCCTGGGTGCCATAGATAATACAAGAAACAGACAGAAGAGTATTCTAAAAGGTGGAAAGGTCCAGCACCAGACCTCTTAAGAAGTGTAGAGATTAAGTTCCAAAAAAAGAAAGCCTACTGTAGTAGAAGTATTTATTTGGAGGGAGCTGTGTGTCTGTGGTACCAGAGCACTTGGATACTATGGCACTGCTGCATCCTTCTCTTCCCACTGTCTACTAACATTCGGGACACTATCCACTACGAGCCATCATGGGAACAGAAGAATGTTTCTGTGAACGTGCGGTACCGCAATGCCGTGCGTTCCAATGTGGTTGCGACTTGGGTCGCGACTTAATGACCAAGGACAAATGTGGGTCCTGAGGTTACACGGGTTGAGAACCACTGGTCTATAGTAACCAATCAGGTTTCCCTCTTCTCTTTTGTGAAATCAAATGGGGACTCTGATTGCTCTAAATGGGCCACTCCTTGATCAAGTTCTCTCTAGTTTCTATAACTAGACCCCCATTGAGCCGACAATTGAGATTTTCTTTAGCTCTAAATTGATCTCTGTTCCTTTTACCATAGAGCCCATGCTAAAGTACAGCTTTGCGTGTTTTCTGAATTATAGGAATATATTGCCGGGATAAATAAAACACTGTAGGTACGTGTAACAATAGCTCGCAGCATTTTATTCGACACCCTAAAACAGATTTTGCTCATTTTAGTTCTGAATTAAAAAAAAGAGACGACATATCAGTCTAAGGAACAAAGTGAGTGATCGGAGTCAAGAAACTGAATGATTTGGTTATTTTTTATCAAGAACAAACATTTTGAGTCCATAGCTTCAAGGAAGAGAGGTCAGTGTGTCCCTTTCTGAACAATCTGAGCGAATCGATTGGTGATGGACAGGGTTGTGTCAATAAATCGGTCCACGCAATTAACTAAGCAGTTCTCTGTTCTGGAGTCCAGCTTGTTTCCAGGTTTGTCCATACATTTATCCCAGCAGACATCCATAAAGTTGTGCACCTGAGAACAATAGAAGAAATATATATGTAAACAGTGAAGGGATAAAACCTGTTTAATAAGTTTTATTAAGGATATTGTAACAATTGTAATATTATTATACAGCATTTATAGCACATACAGCACATAGTCACAACACTTTACAAAATAAAGGGAGACTGTACAGTTACAACACAATTCCATTAGGAGAGCCCTGCTCATGAGAGTAAATAATCCAACCGTAACACAAGCAAAAACATGAATGTCGTTTAGAAAAATATCATTTTTAAAAAGAACTCTGGGCAGCAAAAAAATGTTAACCCTTGTAGTGGGGCTACCCCTGCATGGCAAGGATAAAGTGCTAGCCTTTATCAGTCACCATGATTACAAACAGCTGGCTCCAACTCTCCTAGCCCAGCTTCCCTGAACTTCCTATCCAGTACAAGATCATAAGGGACAGAGCAGTCAGCAGCAGCTGTCCATCTTCAAGCTTAGAGAAGGGATGAGGGGTCCCTCGGCATACTCACACCCAATGCACTGTATTGGATGTGATGAAATCACTTCCGCATTCTGCTATCATTCCCAGCTACAGGAGCTGGTGAAGCAGATCTCTGCTTCATCAGCTTCTCTGGGGGTCCCTAGGTGACATTAGGAGTCTGGGAAACTAGGGATGTCCAGATACCAGTGCCGATACTTGGCATTTTCATGAGAACTACCAGGATTGCAGCGGTAGCAGCTGAGACCAGGCTCTGGCGCTCCACCACTGTCCTGAAATCATTAGTCGGTATTGTTTTAGAAAAACTGTCACATGACACTAAACAAAAATGTATCAGTACTCGTATCTGTGAGAACTTGAACAAGTATCAGTACTTGTACTTAGAAAAATAGTATCGGTGCATCACTTATATATATTTATAAAAAAACAAATAATGCATTAAAACAGGGATGCAGAAATCCCAGGAGCTCCGTATGCTCCTTACAAATGAAAGCAGCCTCCTAACTTTTGAGTTTTTCTCTAGTCTAGACCTGGAGCTGGAAAAGTATCTGTACTTGTACTTGTAGCGAGTATGGTACTTGGTATCTGAACATCCCTATGGGAAACCCCTGATGTCTCCATAAAGAGGACCTGTCATGTAAATTGGCCATCACATAGGGAGCTTTTGAGCACCCCCCCCACCCATGTGATAGCAATAAAGTTACGTGGGGAAAAAAAAAGTGTAATAAAAAAAATTAAAAGCACATTTTAAAAAAAAAATAACACTTAATTTTTTTTTTAACTCCCCTGCCTCCCCCCATACACACGCAAACATGCGTCGGGTGCGCCTACATGCGAAAACAATGATCGCGCCTATTGTGCCGCACGTTATATAGTTATAACAGAGTTATAATTCTCGGACCATTAATCACTAATAACACTAAACTGATGAGCAATAAAAGCGTTTAAAGCATCGCTTATGGGCATTTTTCGTTGTGGTTGTTTTTTTGTGATTTTGCGGTCACGCACAATTTTAAAGCTTGACATGTTTGGTGTCTATTTACCAGACGTGACCCCGTCTTTTATATTTTACCAAAAATATGGGCAAGAAAAAATGTTCTATAACATAATGTAGGGAAAACATGCTGACTGGTGATATTTTTGACTGACGGGTGGGACACCCTATAATTTTTTAAGCCCTGATTATAACCCTCTCCTCAAAACATCTAATTACTCTTTGTGCTGGCCCAGCTCCTTCACCCCTCCCTATATAAACTTTTATGTATCTGCCAGGGGAGGAGTGAAGGGGAACACAACAGTGTCACTTGAGTGACAGTTCCGAGTCCGCTGAAATCACATCCAAGATGGCGGCAGCCTCAGGACTTTTGGATGGGAGGCTGTTATAGGTAGATATCATGCATAACATAGGTTAAATACATTCTTATAGGAAGATATTTTTTTTCCTGAAATGAATAGCTTACCTCTTTAAAGCGGACTGTCACACAGAATAAGAAGTCTGCATTATAGCGACACTCCGCAAACATTAAGTTAGCATTTTTGGTGTTTATGCGTCATCTCATATTTTCTTTTGCACCCCCGCCTCCACTCTGGCCTAGGTGAGGACGTTCATGGCGCCTTATGGGATATCCACATCAGATATCTCAGGAGGCATCGGCTTCAACACAGTGCCTGGAGAAAGGTGGACCTGGAATATGTCATCAGGGGGGCCAATGGCAACAACAAAGAAAGGACAGTGGGCTCCTAATAACATCAGAGGGAAAGATGGCGGTGTATGACTTGGCGATGCAATGGCGGATTACAGCAGGATAACACTGGCTGTGTATGTTCATTAAGCATGACTTATCATCAAAGGTAAGAGGGGGTTCAAAAGCAAACTGAACATGAAGAGGAGGGGGTGCAGTACCTCTGTACAGTGATGACCATAGGGGAATGGCAATGGTTAGGTAGGAGTATGGGATGGCAGAAGCCCAGCTGAAACACCACCATCTTCCATCTATGAGTTCTGACCACCCTAGCAATGCAGTAGTTGTAGTAATCTGCAGTGTCACAGCTCTCGGATATGAAACGTGACCACGCTGAGCCAGACATGTGCTGCATGTGATCTACGTGTAACTCCTCACCTGAGCCGTAAACTGAGCCTTCTGCTGCTCCACCGCCAGCATCCTCTGCAGCTCGGCCTTATCCGTGGAGCTGCCACCCAGACCGGACAGGTCAATTTCAGAATCAAAATCCGCCATGTCTACCAGCGCGACCTTCAGCTGCTTGCAAACCCGGTGACCGGTACAGAGACAGCCCGCCCCTTGAGCAACTTACAGAATAACGCATCCTGATTGGCTGAGCAACATGCTGTACGAGGCGTGGAACGCGGAAGCATGCGTTGCAGCTAGGCTGATTATGATTGGCTGAGCAGTTGGCCGCTCCACCCCCTTCACTTTGTTCCGAATGTATCACCTTCTCCTTATAATAATAAAGCTTAGCAAATGGTTGGCGTGATATATAAAACCGAGAGTCTATGAGTCGTGTATCTGCAGCCAGGGTTTGTAACGGGGAAGTCTCAGCTCTCCCCCTTAGTGGCGGGTTAATTGTTTACTTCCGGGTGGCGGGGTCACCTTGGTTGTCTACTGGGCAAGATGGCGGCTCTGGTGAAGTTGGGCTCCCTGTGTAGGGGAGGCAGAGGTGAGCTCAGTGATATACATGGTCTGAGTTTGTAATATTCACTGCTGGGGGGGGTGACGATTGTTGGAGAGTACTAAGGGAAGGAGTATAGTTCACTAACAATTCTGAAATAGCAACTGTGGGGGGAATCAAAAAAACTGGAGCAAACAGAATCTGGAGCAGTTGCCCATGGCAACCAATCAGCATCTCTCTTCGCTTTGCTCAGATAAGATTTGAAGATAAAAGCTGATTGGTTAAGGTGTAAATCTGCTCCAGTTCTGATAAATTCCCCTCACTGTATTTTAGTAAACTAGCTCAGAATTGTTACAGTGGCCCCAATGCTCATCTCTAGGTGATCACCTGCAGCAGATGTGTGTTTTATAATACATGAAGCAACAACAGCCAATCATCATTTACTTTTCAGTGATGTGACCTCAGTGAACAAGTCTGCAATGGGTGACACCTCTGAACCTCATGCTTGTTCTTTGTATTGTCAGAAGCTGACTGTACACATTCAGATTTCTCTCATTCAGTCCCACAAGCTACAGGAGAGAAAATCACATGATTCCCCCGTCCACGCTAACTGCATGGATATGGACGTCCTCTCCTCTGCAGACCATTGTATTCATATTTGGAGGTGTGGATAGAAAACACTGGAGCCGTGTGGCCACTCTCTTGGTGTTTCTCATCCAGCAGTAGTTAAGTGATGTGAATACCGGTGATCTGGCTGATGGCAGCTTCTGCAATCCAAAGGATCTCCGCAGTATCCTTGACATGAAAGTGAACCCGGTAGATGTGGGAATTGAAGCGCCACACAAATTATAGTAGTCCAGGTACAACTTCATTCCATTAGTCAGGGGACATTCATGTAGAGGGGCCAACACGGTTCAGGGTTCCAGAACACAGTCTAACGGGGAATTACTAAAAGGGTCTAAGGCAAGTTCGAACTCCACTGGTGTGGTTGCCCATAGCAACCCAACAACTTCTATCTTTCATTTTTTCCACACAGCTTAGGCAATGTAAAACCTGATTGGCTGTGCTTCGGTGGGGGCAAAGTTTGTCTCGGATGATTTTGATGAATTCCACGTATTATGGTGTGATGGGATATTCCTGTATGTGCGCAGCGGGATAGAATAGGAATGCTTCTTTCCGGGAGCTCTAAAGCTGTACAAACTTTTCAGTAAAGTGTTTTCACATCTCCATACTACATACATACATGCATGTGGATGGAGACAGTATTGATAATCCAGGGACAGAGCGAGTATTTTAAAGTCAAATCTCAGGAATGTTACAGATAATTAGTTCTGGATACTGCTATTTATATACAGGAGTGACATGAATGTGGTACTGTGTGTATTTACCATCGGAGCAGAGATCCTCCGTGACTCATCGGTTGTTCCAATGGCCGGTCTGCAGATCTTATTCTTGGATTAATATTAACATTACAACTTTAGTACTTGCACAATTGGTGGCTGACTAAATACTTTTTTGCCCCACTGTATATTATGTTCTCTTTGTCCTTACACTGGCAAAAGTGTGTCATTAGAAATGTGTGTGTTTCCTAGATGAAAACATTTATAAATAGAGCTGTGAAGGTTCTCATTCATCCAGGTCACATGGTATATCTGTAAAAAATAAGTCAAGGCAACTGGACTTGCTGTATTTTTCTTGAAGACGTTTCACTGGCCATCCAACCAGCTTTCTCAATTCAGAATGACTTGTACAAAAAAATAATCTGGGAATAAATATGGTGAATGTTGCTCCTATCCACATAATCTGTGAGGCTCTGTTCACACCTAGACGTATTGAATATGCGCTTTCTGTGACGCGCGTTTTTACTGCGATTCGCGGTAAAAAAAAAATGCGCGACAAACGCGCGTTTCCGAGGGCTACTTGGCTGTATCCCAATGGAAACGCGCGACAAAAACGCCGCAAAGAACCTCATGTACCTTTTCAGGCGTGGCCCGTTTTGTAGCGTGTTCAGACGGGCTAAAATACGGCAAGGTGTGAACCATACCCATAGAAAACAATGGGATTTTCATGTTTGAGCGTTTTGTAGAGTGTTTGTAGAGCCTTGAACGCGCTACAAAACGTACAGGTGTGAACCAGGCCTTAGTCACAACCAGGTGTCTATGGCATTTGCATAATCTGAGTCTAGGAGGTGTTAATAACCTGCCCAGAGAGAGGTGTTAAAACAGCAATGTATGTGGAAGACAATAGATGTCTCAAGCGAGTTATAGCTATATTGACGTTAGTATATGTCCTCCTGTGACCCTAAAGAGAACTATGGGATCATAAGGTTACCCCGCAGTTCTCTTTTAAATAGGGAACAAAGTTGTGTTTTCTTTAACTGCTAATCTTTTTTTAGACTTTATAAATCTATATTGTCAACAACTTTTAATCTCTTCCCTTTTCAGCTTTTGCTTTTGGTAATTCTTTCCTGATCAGGCCAGCGGCGGTTTTACCACAAGATCGTCCTTCATTTCACGGTTCACTAATACATGTTTCATCCAATAGACAAGGTAAGAGAAGTAATTGGTCTGTAGCCACTTGTAGATTGTTGTACCCCGGCCTATTTTAGATGGGATGACAACACAGTACATGTAGTCTCTATGCCAGCTAGTTCTTAAAGTCTTGTTTAGAGAAACTAAGTATTACTTTGTATAGCATTTTAGGCAGTTTTACCATCAGAAGTATTTTGACTCATAAGCGATGTGACCAAAGTACTGGGAAAGCCATTTTGGATGGAAAATGGTCTGCTTGAACAAGTAAGGTATCTTAGAAGCATATAGGCAACATAGAAGCTATTTAAAAGAGCATGTGTTGGCCACTTGAATATGGCAATTTAAAAGGTAAAGATAGAGTGAATGTTCTTTTTTTTCTTCTCTACTCTTAAGGTGCCCATACACTGTACGATTCTCGTACGAGAATCGCGGGAAATCCCGCGATCGTACAAGAATCGTACAGTGTATGGAAGGCGTGCGACCGTTTCTACTGTACGGTCGCACGTCTTCCATCGAACAAGCAGGCTGGAAAACCCGCCGGGAATCGTACGATTCTCGGCGAGTGAGTGGCCTGCTGGTTCGACAACTGACGAACGGGCCGGTGTGCCCGTTTGCCGTCCTTTCAAGCCCGCCCCTCATTGCAGTCATCGCAAGCCCGCCCCTCAAGGGGGCGGGCTTGCGATGATCGCAAGTACGATCTGCCTGTCCAAGATGGGCAGATCGTACGTTTTTTTAAAGTACTTTACAACCATCGCAAGACTAAAGTCTTGCGATGGTTGTAAAGTGTATGGCCACCTTTACCCTTCATATGAGTCTGTCTTGTTTTGATTAAAGATTAAGTACAGGGGTGGGAAATTCCTATCACCTGATGCCCACCGGACATGCATTCTTCTACATTTAGCAGGGCTAATGTAGAGCAGGGAAGCCGTTTTATGTACAGCAGCCCAGATATCTTGTAAGCAGCCTGCTTGCCACTCTTCCCCCCTGGGATACATTGTGGAGGGGGGTGTACATCATGGGCCTGGAGTTGGATGAACAAAAGTAAACTGACTCCTGGCTGCCAAAGCTTATAGCTCAGTTTACAGGGGCACCCTGCCATGGACATAGTACTTGCATCTTTGGCAGTGAATGGGTTAAAAGTGAATTTTAAATAAAAAATAAACTTCTGGCTCTGTATGGGTAACTGCTTTGTCTGTAACAGTGAAGGCTCGTCACCATTCATCCCGCTTCCACCCCTCTTGCGTCTATTAAAAAAAAAAACCTAGTATTATTTACACCGAATGCAAGGTGTTCTGTGAATGGATGAGGGGTGGGCGAATCACAGGAACACCCTCACCCATTCACAGAACACCTTGCATTCTATTTTTGAATAGACGCGATAGTCGGAAGGAGAGGGCCAATGGTGACGAGCCTTCATTGTTACAGACGACGCAGATAACCAGTACGGCGACGGAAGTTTACAGATGTGAGGAGGATCTGGAATCACTAGGGGGGAAGATTATTACACAAGGGATCAGGATGTAGGAAACGTTTCATTGAAGATAAGCTACGTCTGTGTTGCTGTATCCTAAAACGAAATGTCAGCTTTAATCTTCTTGTATTATCTGAGAAGATGTATTCTGTGTATCTATAAATAAATTAAAAAAATCACATTAATTTGTGTGTGGCTGTGTTCATGACGGGGGATGGAGCCTAACTGATTGCACTATTACATGGATTGTATATTGTGTCGTGTGTGTGCGCATTGAACTGGAAGCACTACCACTGGAGTATGGTGATGGTCATTTTGCAGTGGTATGAGACGACCTCAAAGTCCACCAATTTAATTAAACAAACAAGCCTGATATACCTTCTGAGGATGAGTATCCCTACAATGAAAGTTTTGTTAGAATCAGCCTTCCAGGAAATGAAGATGTGTTTTATAATCTCATTGTTCTGTGCGTTTTCAGCAGCAGAATCCAAAGGAGCCTCCCTCCACTGGACAGGAGAGAGACTACTGAGTGTGGCTCTCCTGGGTCTCATCCCTGCAGCTTACATGTATCCCGGAGCTGCTATGGACTACTCACTGGCTGCCTCCATCACTCTGCATGGTCATTGGTAAGCCAACTTTTCATTTCATTTTATACTGAGGGAAATCTAGAAATATATAATGCTACTTCCTTTAACCACCTGCTGTCCGGCCGTTGTAATTAAACGGCCAGACATCGGCTTCTTGAGAGTGGGTGGGCGTCGTTAGACGTCCCGTCCCGCTCGTGCACACCGCCTAGCCGCCAGAAAACCGGCTTTGAATGTAAACAGCCAGCGATGGCTGTTTACATACAAGCGTTCAGGCGTCTGTAGAGACGCCCGATCGCTTGTAATATGCGGTCGGGTGTGCGTGATCCTGGGCTCCTCTGTACGCGGTGTGAGCCCGGGACCAGCACAGCAGCTCTGCAGCCGGAGATCAAAGGGAGCTCAGTACACGAGCTCCGTTTGATCTCCTCTCCTCTTCTGAATGCAGGCAGTGATGTGTATTACATCACTGCCTGCATTCAGTGTCACTCTCCGGTACGTGCAAAAACGCCAATTACATCCATTACGCCGCACATGTTACATATCGCCGCGAACGTCCCAGCGAGAGCAATAATTCTAGGGTCATCAATCACCGATTTGCAATTTAACGGGTGCGCACAATTTTAAAGCTTGACATGTTTGGTGTCTATTTACCTGACGTGACCCCGTTTTTTGTATTTTACCAAAAAATTGGGGTGATAATAAATGTTTTATAACATAACGTAGGGAGAACAGTTTTTTTTTTCAACATTTTCTGGTAATTTTTTCATTATATAGTAAAAAATAAAACCCCCAGCGGTGATTACCACCAAAAGAAAGCTCTATCTGTCCCCAACAATGGTATAAAATTAGTTTCAGTACAGCGCTGCATGACGGAATAAATGTCAGTCAAAGTACCGCAGCGCTGAATACTGAAAAATGGCCTGGATGGGAAGGGGGGTACAAACACCCCGGTCAGCAAGTGGTTAAAGCAAGCCTGTCCCAAGTACCTAAAACAGTATTCACATGAGGTTAAACTCTAAAATACATTCAAGAACCTTTTACTATTAACATGAAGCCGGCTTCACGGCCAATCAGCATGGAGCTGGCTTCCTGGCCAATCTGGGAGGCGGGTCAATGCTGATTGGCTGGGAAGTCGGTTTCCCAGCCAATCACAACTAAGCCAGCCAAACATGGTGCCAGCTTCCTGGGCAATCAGGAAGCCGGGCGGTATGTCATTACCCACCGCCTGGCTTTCTTATTGCCCAGAAAGCCTGCACCATGCCAGCGGAAGCCCTGGTATCAGTACTCTGTATCAGCGAGTACCGAAAGCAAAGCATTGGTACGCGACACCGAAAAACTGGTATCGGTGCATCCCTAGTTTTATGTGACAAGCTCCTAAAGAACTCGAATAAGAAATCCATCCATGTTAGTAGTTGCTTTTTAACTTGTGTATTCTTTTTCCGTAGGGGTCTTGGACAAGTAGTGACTGACTACGTTCATGGAGATACAAAGTTCAAGCTGGCCAATACTGGACTTCTGGCTCTCTCATCCTTGACATTTGCTGGCCTTTGTTATTTCAATTATCATGATGTAGGCATCTGTAAAGCAGTGTCTATGCTCTGGAGTCTGTGATTGGAAGGCAAATGAATGTATTGCAACAACTGATGTCTTGGTCTTCAGAAATATCTAACAGACCGTTGCTGATGTATATTGGCTTGTGAAGGATGGAGGTTCTGTGTGGAGGCAATTCTGCCCGCAGCATATTAAATACAGTCCCTACACAATCCTTTTTTTTTTTTTTCCGTTCCACAGTTTTTCAGGTAACACCGCACAACCTTGTCCAGAAGCTATTAATCTGGGGGATGCAGCAATTTTCTGTTTTAGTTGATTCATATCTACTGGAATGCATCCAGTAGCAGTGTCAGCGTGCATTTACTGCCTGAAATTGCACTATATGTCATTGTCCATATCACAATTTGTTTATATGAATATATCAGTTTGCCAGACTGAACAATATCTTTCCATACTGTCTTGTCTTCCGGGTGACATCAGTGCATCATTCAAACTTAGAGCAGGTTTAAATAATCTTCTTATTAATGCATTAAAAAACCTTACACACTATTCAATGAAGGACCCTGTACAATTTTCAATAGTGCTCAGAAATTGTTATGCTTGAAATAAAGAATAATAAATACTGGCATCCATAACTATGATAACGTGTTGGTGTGTATATGTCTTATTTAACCCTTTTGTTGTCAGAGGTCATTGATGCCAAATGCCTGGGACAAAACTAGCAGGGTCAGTATGTGTCAGGTAACTTAATAATAACTTGATGATTTCATTTTCCTACCTAAACATTTTTAATTTGGAAGGAAAGCTTTCATTTAGTGCACTTTTAATACATTCCCTGTTTATTTTTCATTATAAGCTATTAAATGGACAAACATGTTGCAAAAAAACATTTTAAATTTAGCAGCTTATAATAATATGAACAGCATGGGTGCTTAGCCCATATCCTCAGCACAGGGCATCTTACTGAAGAATGTTAATATACAGAATATACTGTAGGTGTAAAGCAGTTAAAGCGACCCCTTTGATTTTCTTAATGTGAAGGCGCTGATCTACTACCGTCTAGTGGCTCATGTCTCCTATCTTCCCTCCGTTCCAACATTGTAGCCTCCCTCAGACTCTTCAGCCTTACACACTTCAGGGAGTAATATACACTGAGTGGCCAGATTATTATGACCACCTGACGTTTGTAGGCAAATTAGCTATAATTTTGCGCTGAAGTTCAATGCTGCAGTGCCGTCCGTCCGTTTTTTTTTTTTTTACTACGAGCGGACGGCAAGTGGTTAACAGCCTTTGAGCGTGGGATAATTGTTTAGCGCTCGGAGCCATGGAGCGAGTATCAGCAAAACAGCAGAATTTGTTAAATGTTCAAGAGCAGCTGTTGTTAAAGTGTTTAAAGACTGGACTGGCAGACCGAAAATCTGGGTCTGAACGTGCGAATTGTGGCCGTCAGCGACTAGTCAATGTTAGGGCAGAACGGGGGAGGGGCAAGACTGGTACAAGACAACAGAAGCGCAACAGTGCAGTGTCAGATTCCTCGCATCACCTTTCAACATCTCGTGGAGTCACGAGGCGGCCCAACGAAGTACTGATGGGGTGGTCATAATAATCTGGCCACTCAGTGTATATGCTTTTGTCCTCTGTCATGTGCTGTGGTTTCATCCCCTGGTCTCTATGTTACCACAGGATGAGGACAGGGTCATTTTAAGGAGGCATTCCACAGTTGAAGCTGATGGGATTGAGACACCGACTGACTTCATACATCTCTCAGGGTCTATGGCAGCAAATCTGAGTTCCTGAGGCCACTTGCCTGCCACGGGCATCATTGAGGAGGCTTGTTTACCCCTTTTGATGCCCACCTATTTTTTTCTCTAAACCAAATAACATAAATCTCAGATATTGCAGCTTACCAGTCTTTAAATGTGATGGCTGCAACAGTTTTCTTATGTAGATTTTTTTTTTTTCTTCCCTTAATTTTTTTTACCTGTGGACACTTGTTATCCTAGAGTGTCAGCGTTTAACTCATTGTACTGTATCTATGGTGAAGCAGCATAGTCACCCTAGAACAGGGAATTCAGAATACCCCCCTTTCTGTTTTCTCTGTAACATAGAGAAGGGTTATGTAGTCCTTAACTGGAAACTGAATTAAGTTCATCACAAACAAAGATTACAGGAAGTTTTCAGCGGGCAAAATGTCAACAGTTTTCTTTTTTTGTTACACTTATGAAATAGGCCTAACAAAATGTTTTCAGTTTTTGTTCTGCACACCAAAAGGAACCACATAATAGAAGTTCGTTGTTCATGTTTAAATACATACACACACGGCAAGAAAGTCTTTGTTGGGCGGTTGCAGAGCTGGGAGCTTTGGCAGGTGTATTTTTGTCTCTGAAGTTCCCAAGGCATATAAGAAGCTGGTGGATGATTTAACGCGCTGTGGTCTGCTGCAATATTGGTTTTGGCTGGGCTGACCATTTACAGTGTGCATGTTGCGTCTCTCTTGTTAACTATAGTTTTCATTTCATATAGAGCAATAAGCAGAAAGCAAGGACATCTTCAAACAAGGACACTTGGAAATCTATATTTTCTGAAAAAGAGCTCTGAGGCTTTCCTTAAAATGCTAGTGTCCGTCATACTGGCCCTCCTGCTTCGGCCACTGACCCAGGACAAGCATATTATTGATAAAAGCAGGTTAGCTTATCAACCAGGAGCTGACATTTCAGAAGAATGCGAGCAATGACGGCCTTAAAATCATGATTGGCTTTCTTTAAGTATGTCATAAGGAAATGGTGCATTATATTTGGATAAACTTCAGGTTATGTAGATATGTTTGCTCTATGTGGTCAGGAAAACATGAAGATTATTATTATTATACAGGATTTATATAGCACCAATAGTTTGCACAGCGCTTTACAATATAAGGAAGACATTACAGCCACAATACATTTTAAGACAAGATGGTAAGGAGGGCCCTGCCCGTGAGAGCTTACAATCTAAAAGGGAGGGGCAAGTGATACATGAGGAGGGAGCTGCGCCGGGATGATTGTTTGAGAAAGTGATTGTTCAGTGGTTAGGGTGAGGTGGGATAGGCTTCCCTGAAGAGATGAGTCTTAAGGGATTGCCTAAAGGCAGTCAGTGTGGGAGATAGACGGATAGATGATTTGATTTGTACAATATATATTAAACACCTCCTCATATGGACATATTTTGTGAGTATGGAAGTGTTAAAAATCCCTGCCAGGTGTTCATTTCTGGCTATGTTCCTGCAGGCGAAATGTAGAGCGCATAGGTGCATTTAATCTGATCTGCTTCAAACAGGTCTTGCATGCCCATAAATGTGTAAGGGGATGCAAACCTGTCTGACCAAAATACAAATGCATACATACAGGCCCTGACTTGCCCTGATGACCATTGTCACTGGAACACGAAGAGAGGTGAAAACTTCCTGTGATTACAAGGAGAATTTTCCCTCACTTTGGAGATATTTTCTCTTGCTTTCTATTGAATCTCTAGGATAGGAAGTGAAGGGAAATCTCTACAATACAAAACAAAGCGGTCTTAACCATCCCCTACTGCAGGGGCGCCCACTATTTTTCGTCTGGAGATCTACTTTTCAAATGACGAGCTCATTGAGATCTACCAACGAAAAAACACCTGCATTCAGGGGCGGGAGGGGGCGTAGGCTGCGCAGGCAGGCCCCTCGCCCACAGTGCGATCGCCTGCATTAGTGCCTGTGTTCCAGTCCAGTGCGATCTGCAAAAATGCTGCAAGCACTATTTTTGCAGATCGCAGTGGACCGGAATGCAGGCACTAATGTGCCTGCGTTCCGAGTGCGGGCGATCGCACTGTGGGCGATGCCATTGACTTCAATACAGCTCCACACCCCCTCCCGCACCGGAATGCAGGGAGTCGGCCTGCTTACATTCCAGTGCATTCCAGTACATTACAGGTCCCGGCGTCCTGTCCTCCCGTGGTGCTCGTGTGGCCGACGTTGCACATGGGGTGTCCTGCACCTTTCCATCTGCAGCGTCTGACACATTCAGCCGGCAGCCGCACGAGCACCACGGGAGCATAGCCGTAGCCAGCTCCTTTTGCGCCTGAAACAAGGAAAAAAAGCAAAGTTTTTTAAATTTATTTTTTACTATTTTTTATTTTATTTTCATTATTTATTTTTATTTATAAACTTTTAAGAGGATGGGCTATAGCAAACAAACGCTGAAAGACTGGAAAAACATTGCCAAGTCTAATACATTTCAATGTCTGCTGCAACATGTTGATTTTAGATTGCTTAAACAGTGTGAATCAATGGATCCATGACCCAGTACTGTTAAGTGGCATAAGTCATATGATCCTGCAAACCCAGAACGATTTGGTATGTTCCCGAGTTCCCAATGCAGTTTCCTGCTAGGCCCAAGCACTGCATTATGGGAGAAGGTCACATGTTCCCCCATAGTTAAAAGCACTGTGTATTTAGCGTTAATTACGATGGATGAGTGCTGAAGAGATCAGTGGGTCAGTGTCACTTTTGCTTTGAGTGAAGTGAGCATCTGTTTAAAGGCTTTATTTGTGTTTTTGATGTTGTGAAGGAGCTTTGCTGGTGATCCAATCATTGCTATATATACATTCTGTCCACCCCTAAATATTATTTTGCTGACTCAATGTTTTCGGTCTAAGAGTGTATTTGTATTTTTGCGGTAACTTCATATTTTAGGGATTTTTTTTTGTACTCGGAACATCTATGTTGTAACTTTTTTGTTATTTTCTGTAAGTCATGGACAGGAAGTGGCTTTGTAGACATAGGACTCTGGTGTAAATTGTGCTATTAACCAATAAAGCAAGTGTGTCTTGGGAAACCAGAAGGATTTCACAATGCCTCGGTGACTCTTTATTACCTTTTTCATTCTGTATTTGTTTTTCCCAAAGCTAGCATTCATGTTTATATACGCATTTGTCAGCTCGGGTTATGAAACTGATATCAGGGAAGGTAGGTTTGATATGAAACTAATAAACACATTGAATGGAAGGAATACCCTAACACAAGCAGATGACAACCCTCCAGCTACATAATAACAAAGTACAGGGCTAAAATTATAG